ACCACAAGGATCGGCAGGACCACAAGACATCCCGACCGTCGCATTTTGATAACTGCGAACCAAATAGTAATTCATAAATGTATTGTAATCGAACATGTACGGATTTATTAATTATATTATATTATAGAAAAGTAACATAAAACATAATATTTTCTCCATTAAAAATAGAATACTTAATTATCTAAAGTTTTTCTAGACATACCAATCTGTCGTACAAAATTTAAATTCCATTAACTCGCATGTTTTTTATTTAATTATAGTCATGTCAGTTTATCTAATCAAATTGACACCAAATCGTTCACGTGGCGATAACTGGTAAACATAATTTAATATAGTTTTTAATTAATATTTACTTGGCATATTAATTTCATTTATCTACCCTAATCCCACTTTAACTGACGTACTTAGTCATTATTCAATACTAAGTGAATCCCTTACTGTAGGTATCGATACAAAGGAAGACCACTAAAAAACTCTAATTTTTATAGTAGAAGGTGGTATCCAAATAAGTATCCACCAGATGCGTTATTTTCCTTCAACGGACAGAGGAGGGAACGCATAGTGAAAGGTCCCCTACCTATTCGACTCCTCTACTAAATTTACTATTCTTTCCTTACACGAAGAGAAGTCCAAAATAAGACGGAATTGCTTCCGATTCGTGCTATATCGTTGATCGTTTTACCTTTCATAGAAAATGAAGATTGCAATAAGAGTCGTTAATTTACAAAAACTACACTTACTTAAGAAATGTTTAAGTAACGATTAAAACAACTAATACTTAAAAAGACATAAAATTGGTCTATTTAAAATCATATGTTAATATAGTCGATTACATTTAAATAACAGAGTTAAATATATTTAATATTTATGAATACCTATTATAGTCTGTGGAAACAGGCGACAGACACAAAATGGTACCAGCCGATGACAAACACAAAACAGCACTGTGTTGTAGACAATGTTGCATGACAATATAAAATATCATAATTTTATAGTATAATAAAAAGTTGTAAAGTGGTAATATTGACCTGGAATCCTGAAATACCAGCATGTGGGCGTCCGCCATCTTTAATTATAGGCGATGTTAATTTAAAAACATTTACATTATCTTTATCTGTATGTTTATTTTTAATTTAATCAAATAAATTATCTATGTTATGCGTGCAGATTTGATAACTTCAATAAAGTGAATAATGTTAGGTAATATTTTTGTTCTGTGACATCAACTTGCGCGCGCTTTTTTTTTTTCGAGTTTTGTGTAAATAGGCGATACGTACAGCCACGTTTTTAAGACTAAAATTAAATTTTTATCTTTTCATAGTTATCTATTTTTACATGACTTTTACCATTTTAAAATATTTTAATAATGACGATATTTAGATTTGTATTCTCTCATACTTCCCTACGTTTTTAAATACCAAATTATATCCTAGAGCTGTAGTTGCAATAACTTTTCTGCCAAACAAAATAACGAACGAAACCCATTTGTTTACTATGTCACTAGCAACTAGCAAACGTCACATACACGCGGCCTGTCCAATTAGCATCAATAATGCAGCTTTAAGAATGCATAAAAAGAGGAAAACTAGGTCATACAAGTGAGACCTAGATCGAATGCGAACACACCAGTTAGCCTTCACGATGACTGTAACTTAGACTTGTTTACAATACTTAATGTAAACATTAACTTTTATGATAATCTTAATAAGATCGATATGTCAATAAAATTCTCAGGACAGCCAAATAAATATCGGAAAGAAAGTAGACATTTAAAATACTAAACAAAAATCTGATGTATTTTTGAACTAAACGTATAAATAGACCGGTCAAATCTGTTTCTCTCTACGAGTATACTAATAATATAAAGAGGAAAGATTTGGATTTTTGTATGTATTAAAATAACTCAAAAACTACTGAGCCGATTTTAAAAATCCTTTCATCGTTAGATTTTATCTGTGAGTGATATAGGCCCCATTTTTTTTTAATACCACGCGAGCAACAGTTAGTAATCTATATTAATATTATAAAGAGGAAAGATTTGTGTTTTTTGATTTTAATTTTTGTATATATAGAAATAACTCAAAAACTAATTCCACGCGGACGAAGTCGCGAGTAGTAGCTAGTCTTACATAAAACTGTAAACTCCAGCCATGGCAAAATAAAGGTTCTGTAGAAATCTCGCCCAGAGCGTTAGTAAAGGTAGAACAGCAATTAAATAGATATTTTCCCCATAATGTAACCCCGTGAAAGTAATCCAGGATATATTCCTACTATGATTATGGTAATAATCAAGTAAGAAGTGCATTATCTCTAAGAAAGCCTTTCATCGAATCTCATTAAAGCTTATTAATTTCTTGTCTGTTCTCATTGCGACTAAGTATACTTTACTTGAATAAACTAGCTTATTTATATTACCTACATCTTTTTATAAATATAAAATACAAACTTTCGCGCGCAACTCCGTCCGCGTGGCATTAAAAAAAACACAAATGAGTAGCCTATGTGTTCTTCCAGAGTAGTCTTGGGCTTAATCGGACATCTGCAAGTGCGCACCGTACTAGTACAATTGGGAAAACGTACTAGTACACACTTTTAGTACCTTTAGTACTTCAGATTTGTGAAAACACAATACATGAATAGAATATAACGAGGGTTATATATTACTTCACATCAAATTTTAAGCAGGGTCAAACATATGTTATTAGCGAAAATAAATTTACTTATGAATAATTTTATCCACTTTTGATTTTTATTATCGAAGGTGGATGCTTCAATCTGACAAAAAGGCGAACACCGATATCGTGTAGTGTACTAAAAGTACTAAATGTCCGATTAACAGAAGCCGTTCGGTAACGTTACTTTTAGTACAGTGCCGAGTAACATTACTTTTTAGTACATCGTACGTGTACTACCCAAGACTATTCCAGAGTATCCTCTACGTCTATGCCAAATTTCACCGAGATCCGTTCAGTCGTTTCGGCTACAAACTCTAACAAACATCCAGCCATCTAAACTTTCGCATTTATAATGTTAGTAAGATAGTTAGTAGAAGGTTTTCCTTAATATTGCAAATTCTACATTTAAGTTCACGTTAGGTTAAAAAGGTAAAATGCCGTGACGATTGAGGATAATGGATCAAAATATTATCAAGTTTTCCTTCAATTTTCCTAAACCAAAATAACTTTACCTTCATCCTTCATCACATTATTGCGTGAAACGAAGACGCTTTTTATTTTTATTTTTCTTTAGACATTTTGTCTTCCACGTTAAGTAATTAATTCAATATTTACTGTTTGTTTTAGCTTCACAATTTAAATTTTTTAAAAATAACTCTATCTTTTATGCATTAATTGGCTGAATAACGGACATTTTTGACCAGTTTTAATTAAAAAAAAAAACCTGATACGTAACGGTCGACGCACGAATATCAACAAGTTGAACTGGCAGCAATATATTAGATAAAAATCCGGTAACCGATATCAAATTCCACTAAATTCAATGTGCTTTATATTTTTAAAATTGTTAACATTTTTCTTAGACTTTTAGTCACTCCATCTCTTGGTTAAGAATGAAAACTAATTTTTGTTCTTTGGTAATGAACTATAGCGTTCATTATATTTTATTTATTTATGTTCAATGTTACCGTATATTAGCCTGGAAGTAAACTATATCGAATAAGCTTTGTACATTTTGTAGACAAATAGAAACAATCGGCTAAAAGGAACGTACCTCACCAATATTAGTTTGTGGTCACTAAACCCATGTTCCTTTGGGGACCAAACATCTTAATAATCAAAATATCAACGTCCAACAAACAAATAAACATAAATAGCAGCCGTAACATTCGCCGCGCGCTCTGAGATCACAAACCAATTCACGTTGGTCGACATTTCCAAACGACATTGCGCGTCACGTGACATCTGTCATGTCAAATTGGTTTTTAATTAAAAATGTCAAAATCAGTAAATAAAATATTAAAATCTGTATAAATATAACAAATTTGTAGTGTCTGATCAAACGAAAAATTCCAGATTTTGGGAAGATGTATTTGCGTTGATGATAACGAAAATCGAATTATTTTTTTTTTGTTTGTCTGTATGTTCGCAAGCCGCGTTTGTTCCGGGTAATCTCCGAAACGGCTGGGGC